TAATACTATTAATAAATATATATATATATATATATATATATATTTTTTTTTATCATATTATGCATCAAATATAATAGTATAAATTTTATTATAAATTCTCACCTGTATGAGTACGTATATGTCCTTGTAGGAGCCATGGTCTCGAGAAACATTTGCCGCAATAATTACATTTACACCCCTGATTATGCGTTCTGACATGCATACTAAATGCAGGCATACTGACATAAACTTTATCGCAATGTGGACATCTTCTAGCTTTCTTATCTCCGAGAGATCTATGCGTTTGTCGATGTCTGGCCAAATTGGAGGATGTCGAATATTTTTTCCCGCAATCAGGACATTCGTGATCCTCATTGTCTTCGGATTTCGACGTTTCTGTTGAGGTTGAGGTTGTCCTTCGGTTTTGAAAAATCGTCGAGGATGACGATTGATTTGATTCCAATTCAATTTTATCTAATGAATTCTCAGAAACTTCGATACTGCGATGTTCTTCTTGCAAGTGATGAGAACGAGATGGTACGTGAATACCTAGAACTGTGCTTTTTTCCGAACGATTCTGTAAAATTTCACGTTCGCATTCGATCCTCTCAAAAAATAATCTTGTTCTTTCACCAAGTGATTGTTCATCTTCAATGGTCCCTGAATGCTCTTGAAATTGCGGTTCTTGCTGTTTTGTTCGTGGCGTTATCATTCTTCCGCATTTGTCCGAAAATTGAGTACACCTAGGCGAAGCTGATTGTTGATAAATCACGTTACTCGGATGAATCAAAGTACCAGCAGCCGCGGCTAAGCTCACTTCTGCCAATTTTGTAAGATTATACAATTCTTCGGGACACTCTGACGATGTTTCGCTACCGCATTCACTCGCACCGTCAGAAGTTGGATGGTTTCCGCTATAATCGGCCAATCTTACACCTCTTTCAGGACTGAAATCTATTAGAAATTGAGAAAATTAGATTCATGATCAGCTGTATGTGAGATATTCCTTAAATATTTCTAGCCAAAATTAAATAATTTGTAATATGTATAAAAACAATATGAAATATTAGAGTTAGATTATTGCGTTCCATAATAGAATTGAAGATCAAAATGCGACACGTGGAATCATTTATCATCGTTAGCGTAGGTTTCTACAGTTTGAATGCGTTTTGGCGAAAGTCCAACGGAAATCTCGTGATCAAACTAAAAGAACTTTCAATTGATAGTTCGATTTCGTTGTATTTGACTACTTTATAATTAGTTTTATTTCTTCATCATTATTTTACAATAAAAAAAAAATGTTTGATAACTTGTATTTTTCAAATTATGTTTTCAGAAAATAAAATATGTTTCAATTTATAATTTTTTTTTTTTGCTTTTCAGAACAAGTAAGTGTAAAACCTGTAGAACAAGTGGTTTCGTTGTGTAAATGAGTATTAACAGAAACATGTAGAAAAATTTCGACCAAAAGATTTGTTATATTTGCAATTCTTTTTGCAATAATTTTTACGTTATGTATTTACGTCATAAATCGAATCAAGGATCGAACGGAAAGAGATTCGTGATTGACTTGTATATCAAGGCGTTTCGTGAAACATCTTCGCGAGTATGCCGTCTGCTCTGTTTTTGAGGAGAACAGAAATAGAGTAGGTATCTTTCTCTCTTACCATCCTCTTAGTTATCTTTCTTTCTCTTTAATCCTCGTATTTTCTGCGTACTTCTATGTATCTATACACGTATATGTGCGTTTGTACGAAAGTTTTAGAGGGGTTGACGGCATCGCGACGGTATGTGTCGTGTGAGTTTCGTGACGCATCTAGTGTCTCCTATTCTTAAATCTACGCGATGTACCACCTTAATCACGAAGCAACGACCAGCAAATTCTCTTGGCCTGCGATCAGCAACTTTGATTGACGAGATCGACGTAAGCGGCGCGGAAATTTTACTTACATCGATTCGAGTATCCGCATTTATTTTTCCGGGCAGTTAACATTGCCATTAAAGGAACTTTCACGTCAACCTTTGAACTTTCAACCAATTTTCTTTTCGTCACTAATAATGTTAAAGCTATACGTGAAATTGATCGATAATTAATAATAAAATTATCATCGATAGAATTTTCATCCTAGAAGAGAACGCAACGAATACCGTCGTAGTTATTTTTAAAACGCAGTTACGATATAGAAAATGGAAAAAAAGAAAAAAAAGAAAATTTCTGGCATGAGATAAACGAGGAATGTTCAAAGTGACAATTACGAAAGCAAGAATGTACCTCTTCCGGATCCATCGAACTCCTCTTCGACCCCATTGTATCGTCGATGAGTGATTAGAAACGCTCTCGGCATTTTCTTCCTATTATCGCGTGTACGTATATCGTCTTCTTCTTCTTCTTCTTCTTTTCTAATAGTCTCTTCGAATCACACAAAACATATCTTGAATCTGTCTGATCTAACTTCACTGTCACACACGATCACTAAGGGATTATTCTTTCAAAGTTGAAAAAAATATCGCGAATGAACGTTGAACCGATCGAAGAAGATGTCACGCGATTTTCATAAAATTTCTCACGTACCCTGTACCTGTTGCTCGACAAGCAAGGGGGTGCGTCCGCCTCGAGAATTTCGGGCGTAATAGTTGCTCCGGCTAAGATTCGGGGCTACATATAGCAGCGCAGCCTCCCTCGCCCTCCACCATCTCTTTGTCAACGTCTTCTTCTTCTTCTTCAGCTGCTGCGCACCGCGTTGCACGCGCTCAGAAGGGTGCCTGACTGGCTCGTGTGTCGATCGCTGCTTCTGTTTGAGTGGTGGCGAAGTGTGCGACCACCGTATGCACATCCGTGTCGCTTTTTCGAGCGTGGACGGGGTATAATGTACACGCTCGTAAACATGCACGAGTAAACGTATTCAGGATTGAATGTTAAAGGCTAGTTACATTGAGATTAATTGATTAATATTATCATTATTTTTTTCTTTTAATTTTTTGACATTTTAGACTTTAGTATTACGATTATTATGAAGCTTTTTTACTTATCTTTGTGAACGACTTTTTTCTTCTTACAATTTAAATTTCTTAATTTTGTTACATATTAAATACTTATGATATATTCTTATACATATATATATATATATTTTTTTTATATAATTCTGATCTCTAATAACTTTTAAAGTGGATTCATAAAACTTGTTAAGTATTTTTTAGCTGGAAAATTATTTCGAGCTTTTTTCAATTGAATTATGAAACATAATTGTAAGAAAACGTTATGAAGACTTATTTATTTTTTGAACATGAATCGAAACAATGAAGAAAAATAGATTGAAAGATTTATGCATTTCTTTATTCATGAGAAATGTCGATATAATTTGTAACTCATGAAGATCGATCAATGAAGATCTAACATAATAACGATAAATTTGTAATCAGAATCAAATATATTCACATCGTTTTATTTGTTCTACTACTCTGGAATTTTATGACATAGCTTTCGGATAGATATGAACAGGTGTAAACGTTTAAAGTGCATTAGAGCATTTAGAATCCATTAAACTAATATGTCATGGAAAAGATTTAAATTCAAATTCAATTAGCAACACGAAAGTAACATCATCTCTGTTTATTTATAAATTTTCTTTATGTTGAATCATGTTCAAAATCGTTGTGTAAAATTGCAATTGGAAATATCGGTGTTAAATATTTCGAGATTACATTACTCTGCAGAAAACGAAGGAAACGGAAGAAAGAAAGCAGATTATCGACACGATATTTACCAGTTGGCAAATGAAAGCATTCTATTTTTAATGTGAAGCCACTGTTGGTAGACAGATTTTGTGGGATCTACGGCACGCGTTCGATGTTCATTAACCGTCACTGGACCGAGCAAGAAAGAAAGGGAAGGGAAAAGAACGTGTGTCATTTAGTATGCGGCATCTTTTAACCATCTCATAGATGGAAAAAGCGCAAAAATGTTAGACGCGATTCATCGAGACACGCGTAGTCTTTTTGCTTTAGAGATGAGTGAAATTTCCTCGAACTTGGAACACATACGTTTTAAGAAGCAAGATCATGAAAATTATAAGGAACGATAAATATATTAAAAGAAAAAAAAAATAATGAATTTTTTTATGAAATGATAAAAAAAAGAAATATATAAGGACAAATTTTTAAATTTTTAAATTTAGATAGAAAGTTTTCATATTTTTTCCTATGGAATTCCATTAAAAATAAACGTTATATTTCTATGAGATGTATCATATATTTACGATCCTCTGTAGTATTTTATTAATACCAAGTCGTTATTAATAAAATGACATATTTATTTTAGTCACATATTATCGATTATAACATCCCCACGATTGTTTAATAATATCATCGGCAACAATATTTCTCAAAAGAGTTTTATTATTTTCTTTGCTATTGGTATAATTGAACAATGAACTACGATGAAGAGAGGTGAAAAAGAGTATGTAGTTTTACAGATATCGAAATGGATTTTTAATTCGATTTCCAGGGTGTTTAAAGAGGAGAAGAAAAATGAAAAGCGAGGTTTTCCGAGCAAATACAGGGAGAGCGATGTCTTTGGTGCAAACAGAGACTATGCAGTGAGAGACTATGCAAGCAACGGACTTTTTGGTCGGCGATTGAATGAATGCCACGCGAGTTAGTCAGCGTCGCGGTGCTAAATTCGGCGGACGCCTGGCGTCGCTCCAGAAGAACCACCCAGCGCACCAACCTGCTTCTATCCTGTAAGCCACCAATGAAACTGCGAGATTCGACGCCGTTTTCTTATTTGCTTGCCACCTTCTTTCGTCCCGCATCGATGTTTCACGATGCCTCTCTTATGTTCCTCCACGAAAATACGATGCCGAGTGTTAAACTCCGTTTATCGACGCTCGTAAATCTTTTGCAGCAACGGGATAACGATTCCCATTTAAGTATTATAATTTAATGTTTCTTATTTGAGAAAGAACTGATGAACATTAACAAATATATGCGCATATTAAATATATATAAATATAAATATACATAATTTCGTTATATTTTTTTTTATTCCCTTGACTTTTTCAACAACCTGAAATTGATTGAAATGTTGATTGTTTTCAGAATGATTCGAAGAACAGGTGTCTCGGGAACGCTATTGCAATCGCGGTACTATCGACGTTGGACCTAAAAATAAAGTCACGAGTGTCGAGCATCTCGATTGACGCAACTATGAAACTTGCCAACCTTTTCTCAGCGATGGATTGTCAATATCCGAGGCTTCTGTGTGTCATCAGATACGCGTAAGGATCTAATTTACTTCATGGTTTCTACATTAATAAACGGACGGATAGATGGGGCGCATCCTACAGGTGCCTGAACGCGGTTTCGATGGAACGTGTCGCGTAAAACGTGTATTTTCGGCGTACTTGGAGAAGCTCCAGGTGCGGAGGAGGAAGTACGTGTAAATCGAAGAAAACAGAGAAGCTGGATGGATGGCGAAACCACGTGTGTTACCATTTTTTTTTCTTTTTTTTTTTTGCAAAAATGAAACTTTAATCATAAATAATCTAACGTTCCAATATTTTTTTCAGTTTCTTCTTCAATAATCCCTCCCTCTTGCCGAAGAAGAGGAAAATCTTCCTCAGAAATTCGGGAAGGGGAGATTTTGTTCCTCGATAAAGAAGACAGAGTCATTCTCCAGATTAAGCGTAATCCTATCTCATAGGATCATTCTGTAAAAAAAGAAAAAAAAGTAAATATTTCGGTGAGTGTATCGGGTATCGTTCTGAAAATTATCCGGAAACGCCTGGTACCTTTTATAAATCAGGATCGGTACACTCCCTCTTTCCACGATCATGTCATTTAGCGAGAAATTTTCTGGTGGAAAAAAAAAAGGGGGGAAAAGCACGCGATTGCTATTTAAAAGGTTTGTAGGTGGTGGCTTTTTAGCCGAGGTATATACCGACGTAGGGAGAGGGCTTCGACTTCGCTCTTCGGCCTCGGTATGGGGTTGCCGTGCTATTTTCAGGCCGGTGGCTCGATGCAGCTGTCGTGTTCTTCGGGTAAACCACCTCTCTTCTATTCCATGGTCACTCGCGGGACAAGGTAGAATGTACAGATTGGAATTCTAAATTCACGATTCGCAAATTCGTAAAGGATGACGCACTTTCACTAACACTCACCGAAATTAGACGATCGTAATAAAAGAAACGTAGGATCATTATTAGAATTTCGAACCTTTTTACTTATTCTTGAAATCTATTTCTTTTTTATCTATTCTTCTTTCGCATAATCATCTTCATTTGTTCGATGTTTTTTCGATATTTCTGATATTTTTCATTCTTTGTAATTAACTTCTCTCTTTTGGATTCTAGAGAACGCATTTTAAATTTGTATTAATCATAATCTCTTTTAATTTTCTTGAAGATTCAAATAATAAATGAATGTATTATATTTTTATAGGAAATAATAAAAAAAGAAAAAAAAAGCGATAAGAAAAATAGAATAGTAAAACTATTTAAATGATTGCCTCCAGCAAGGCTACGGAAAGAAGAAGTGCGTGCTGGAGAATGGAAGACATGGATGAAGAAGATGACAAGATTCGAAGATCTTGGCAACGAGCCAGAAGAGATTTTCAGTCGTCTACGTATTTCCAACTTTCATCTTCTAGCCGTCTTCTAGAACCTAGGGTGCAATGACACCAGGTTTTAGATGACAATTTTCTATTTACAGTACGTGAGTCATTATAAACATGTAAATTTTATTATTTTTTTTTTATTTAAATTTACTTAATAATTTATTTTTTTTACATAATTTTTTGATATTCCAGAGATATAGCATTTATGTATAATATATTAAATTATTAATTTGTCACATTTATGTCAAAATTCAAAAAAATATAAGTGATTTACTAGACACAATAAAATACAAGAAAAAAAAAAGAAAAAAAAAGAAGAAAGTATTAGGAGATTAAAAAATATCGACCGGAACGACCCTTAATTTAGTTTCGGGTGCAAGAGGTTAACAGAGAGTGGGGATGTCAGTGGAAGTGCTTCTACGAAGGGAGAACACCGTCGTACGAAGCACGTTGGTTCATGTTTGGAGGAATGTCTTTGGGTATAAAGGGAGACAGTTCCTTCCGGAGACAGCGAACAGCCGCCTGTTTCACCCTTCTTGTCCTTCCCATTTGTTCCCTTTCTGTATATCGTGTTTTTTTGCGATTCATCATATTCTTTACCACTTGTTTTTCTATTAATATTAATAAGAAGATACTTTTATTCAAGATTTTTTTTTTAAACAAAAACTTCTTTGTCTTATTGTTATAAATTTCATGAAAATCGTTCTATTACAAAAATTCTTTGAACTATGTATTATTTTGTGTATTATTATTATAAATACATAGAAAAAAATTAAGTGGTAATTTAATAATTAAGATTATCAAAAAATTACAATACATTTAATAAAATTTCTACGAGAACGTAAGTGTTGTAATTCGGAGATTAATTGCATGTCGATCAAATTGTAGAACTAACCGGTTCGCAGGTGGCAAACAAGCATGCAAATCTAAAAAAGGGTTACGCACACGAGCACGTGCTCGCATTTTGCAAAACCTTTTCAAAGGCGATCAGCTGGCTGTATTCTTTCTTCCTTCCACTCCCCCCGCTCTTATCTTTTCCTACGGCAAGAAAAAAGAATTAAAATGGATAAAAATGAACGTACACCCCCTTCGTCCGCACCCGCATCCTGTGCCAGTATAGTGCTGCTTTCGTAAAAACCGGCCCATCGGTTTTCATTCAAAATGTGCGAGTCACGAGGGCTCATTCACAAATTTCACGACGAAATTCTACACTCAGCCGTCTGCGATCTTGATCGAGACAAGAGAGACGAACGCATAAGAGCGAGAACGATCGGAATATTCTTTTTCTTGAAACCTCTTGTTG